GTGGTAGAGACAATGTGTATATTCTATACAAGAATGGTCAGAAGATTGCTTTGGGTCCGCTGAAAGAAGCCGAATTTCCCAAAGGAAATTCAGTTATGTTGATCAACAGTGAGGAATTTCTGGGCGAAGTAAGAACTGCCCCTGAAATCTTTGCTATTATGCGCAAGGGGGAAGTAGTTGAACAACCTCCTTTTACAGTACCAGCAATAGTGCAGCCATTACTATAGGAGTTTAGTGAGTTGGTGCCGAAAGACTTGCCTGATAGTCTCCCTCCCATGAGGGACATTCAGCACCACATTGACTTGGTGCCCGGGGCGAGCTTGCCAAATCTACCACATTACCGAATGAGTCCCAACGAAAGTCAAATCTTACAAAAGCAAGTGGAAGAGTTACTACAAAAAGGGTTGATTCAGGAGAGCATGAGCCCATGTGCTGTTCCGGCCTTGCTAGTACCGAAGAAAGATGGCAGTTAGAGAATGTGCGTTGATAGTCGCGCAATTAACAAAATCACTGTCAAGTACAGATTTCCCATTCCACGGTTAGATGATATGCCGGATATGTTGGTGGGATTGAAAGTCTTCACCAAAGTGGACCTCAAGAGTGGATACCATCAGATCAGAATCCGCCCTGGAGATGAGTAGAAAACGGCGTTCAAGACAAAAGAAGAACTGTACGAGTGGTTAGTCATGCCATTCGGATTATCCAACACGCCAAGCACTTTCATGCGATTGATGAATCAGGTACTTAAACCATTTATTGGTCGATTTGTAGTTGTTTATTTCGACAATATTTTGGTTTATAGTCAAACAGAGGCAGTACACCTTTTGCACTTGAGAGAGGTATTAACAGCTTTGCAGAAGAATAAACTGTTCATTAATCTAAAGAAGTGTAGCTTTGTGACACCAAGCCTAGTATTCCTCGACTATGTGATTTGTAGTGATGGCATTTGGGTAAATGAGGAGAAGGTGAGGGCCATTCAGGAGTGGCCTACGCCAAAGAATGTGGGAGAAGTACACAGTTTCCATAGCTTAGCCACGTTCTACCAAAGGTTCATCAAGAACTTCAGTAGTATTGCATGAAGAAAGGAAAATTCCAATAGGGAGAAGAAGCTGAGATAAGTTTTGCCTTAATCAAGAAAAACTGTCAACAGCCCCAATCTTAGGTCCTTCCAGATTTTGAGAAGCTATTTCAGGTAGATTGTGATGCCTCAATAGTGGGAATTAGAGAAGTTCTATCACAAGAAGGAAGGCCAGTAGTGTTTACAGTGAGAAGCTGAGTGAAACACACAAGAAGTGGACAACCTATGAGTTAGAATTCTATGCGGTGGTGCAAGCTTTGCATAAATGGGAGCGGAGCATTCACTTATCCAGCAAGAGTTCGTACTGTTTACAAATCACCAGGCACTGAAATCCATTAACAATCAAAACAGTGTTAATCGGATGCATGCGCGATGGGCGACTTATATCCAGCGATTCACCTTCTCGCTAAAACACAAGTCAGGCCAACAGAACAAAGTTGCAGATGCACTAAGTCGGAAAGCGGCTTTCTTAGCGACTATGAGGGCTGAAATCACAGGGTTCGAGTGCCTGAAGGAGTTATATAAGGCCGACGAAGATTTTGGCCATGCCTGGGCAGCGTGTAAAAGGAGCCAATCCTTTAAAGGGATGCACATGCGGGAAGGATTTCTCTTTAATGGCAATCAGTTGTGTAGTCCACGGAGCTCTTTGCGGGAGCAAGTGGTTCGTGAATTGCATGGAGGAGGATTAGGAGGGCATTTGGGGTGTGATAAGACGCGAGAGCTGGTAGAAGAACGGTATTATTGGCCACAACTCAAGCATGACGTGGAGAACCATGTGCAGCGATGCTCAATATGCCAAACTAATAAAGGCCAATCTCAGAATACTGGTACACACCGCTGCCTATTCCAGATGCTCCATGGGAGGTTTTATCCATAGATTTTGTTCTAGGGTTGCCGAGGACGCAGCGAGGAGCAGACTCTGTTTTTGTGGTGGTTGATCGATTTTCCAAGATGTCCCATTTTATTGCATGCAAGAAGACGAACGATGCAGTCCAAATGGCCAATCTATTCTTTAAGGAGGTGGTTCGTTTACATGGGGTACCACAGTCCATTACCTCAGATCGTGACACCAAGCTCTTGTCTCACTTTTGGCGGACTTTATGGAAGAGATTCAATACCTCTCTTAATTTCAGTAGCACCAGTCACCCCCAGACTGATGGCCAAACAGAGGTGGTGAATAGGACCCTTGGAAATATAATTTGCTATATTTCAGGAGAGAAACCAAAACAGTGGGATCTTGCTCTTGCCCAGGCAGAATTTGCTTACAATTGCATGGTTAACAGGTCCACTAGCAAATCCCCACTTGCGGTTGTGTATTGCTATCCTCCAAAAGTTGCTTTGGATTTGGTATACTTACTGAAGTTGCCGGGGAAGAGTGTTACTGCAGAGAAAATGGTTGAGCACATTAAGACCATTAAGAAGAGTGTCAAGAAACATCTAGAGGAAACTTACGCCAAATACAAGGCTACAGCTGACAAGAGACGAAGGAAAAGAGTATTTGAAGAAGGGGACCTGGTAATGGTGTATTTAAGAAAAGAGAGGTTTCCAGTGGGAACATACAACAAGCTGCAAGCCAAGAAATATGGTCTGTACCAGATTCTAAAGAAAATCAACGACAACGCCTATATGATTGATTTACCTGCTGACATGGCCATTTCTTCTACCTTTAATGTGGCTGACATACATGAATGTTATCCGCCAGATTCGGGTAACTCGGGAACGAGTTCTTTTTATACAGGGGAGACTGATGCAGAACAGCTCACTCACGATTATCTGAGCATACAGGATCATCGCAAATAAGAGAGGCTGAAAAGGTAAGGAGAATAGAAGGAAATAAATAAATAAATAAAAGTCAAAAGGAGATTTGGTGTAGTTGCCAGCAATAGAAGATATTATTCTCCATTGCAAGAATTAAGGAGGATTCAGAAAATAAATAAAAAGATTTGGTGTAGTTGCCAATAATAGAAGATATTATTCTCCATTGCAAGATTTAAGGAGGATTCTACTCCATCAAATCTCAGATTTCCCCTTTAATATTATTTCACGCATGCTTTCTTTTTTCTTTTTCTTTTTTTTTGACTTGCCTATATAAAGGCAAGAGATGTAAGTTTACAGACATCATCATTATCAATATAATTTCAGTTTCTCTCTTGTGAGTGTGTTCTTTTTTGGGTTCAAGGGTTTAACCCTGTTCTTTGTCGTTTCCGCTACGTTACTACCTCATCAGCTAATTAATCAATCCGGGGTTTTCCATAACACATATTTGTACATGTGTTGATATTAATTACCCACAAAAAAAATAATAAGAGAAGTTGAAAGAGTGGGAATGGTTAGATTAGCCCACTTTTCAGTAGGTTATATATTTACTTATGCAGCTTTATTGATTGCCTTTACATCATGTAAATCTGGTTAATTCTTTTCTTTTCTTCTTTTTCCACGTGTGTTTATGTTGTATTCGCGATAGTCTCATTTGTTTCGATGGGGAGGATGTCCAAATTTGGGGGTCACGGTGTTTTATAAAACATTCTTGGTCAAGAAAAAAAATGTGAATGAATGATTAATTGGGTCCATATAAAAAACTACCCACATAAATTCAATCTTTCCATCAAAGGAAACAATCCATTCATAACACACAATCTAAGATAAAAGAGAAATGGTTAAAATTAGTCCCCAAAAAAAAAAAAAAAAAAAAAAAACTAGATATATGTGTCAATAGTAATAAGTACCCTCAGAAGTTCAATCTTTCCATCAAATAACACAATTCATTCACAACACACAAACTAAGCAAATATAGAGAAATGATTGAAGATAGCAGAAAGTAACGAGCTGGGTAAGATGGGTCAATATTAAGAAGTACTTTCAAAAATTCAAACTTTCCATCAAATGATGCATTCCATCCAAATAAGATACATACTAAGCAAAAAGAGAGAAATGGTAGAAGCGTTGAAGCTACAAAAGAACAAGCTGATACAATGGGACGATGTTAATAAGCTTAGTTATGTAAACTCCCCTATTCTCCCCAACACCCGTGTTGAGACGACACAATGTCACAGCATGTGTATGGGCACTGAATTTTTACATATGATGAAAGAAGAATAAAAGGTTAAGTTTGATAGCAATGAAGTGTTTTCTACTTCTAAGATAGATAGAATCCCTTTTGTAACCATATCCAATTTACTTTAAAACTATAATTGAATATAATTTTGAAAATAGGACGTGGCCACATACTCATAAGTCATACCCAACTTGTAGACATTCTACAAACCGAGTCCATGTAGTCAAAGATTTTAAATTCAATGATGCACAACTCATAGACACATACCCATAATCTCACACACAATACATGCACCAGAGTCCTTCAAACATAGTTAATAAGTACCCACAAAAATTTAAAATTCCCATCAAATGATGCATTCCATCCATATAAAAATACAGACTAAGCAAGTATATAGAAATGGTATTCACCCAAAAAAAAGTAAATAGAAATGGTATTCACCCAAAAAACAAAGTATATAGAAATGGTTAAAAAATGTGTTATTGTTAGTTGTTTCATTATTGGATCTCTATGTCTGTTTGTTATTTGCTTCCACTGTGCGGAACAGAGGATAGCCAACAATAAGTACCAAAAAATTTAGTCTTTCCATAAAATGATAGATTACAACCCGTCAAAATTAACACAGACTAAGTGAATATAGAGAAACGATTAAGTTAGTAATAAAAAATAAAAAATAAAAATTCTGTGTACAATGGGTTGGGTTCGATACCAATCACTACCCACAAAAATACGATACATTCCATTTTTGCCACACAGACTAAATGGTTGAAAGTAGTGATATACAAACAAATTGGAGACAAGAAAGAGTAATAAAAGATTCAAACTGGTTAAATTTGAAGATCATCAAAGATACAAATAGAGAGAGACCTGTAAGAACTGTCTGGCAGTATCGGCGGTCTGGCCTGCGGCGATCTCGAGGAAGGAAGAGACCAACCGTTGCTTGTCGGTGGCAGATAGAACGTCTTCCATTTTTTCCCCACAATTGAGCGACGAATTGAACCCAAAACCAAAATCCTAAAATGAGAAGGGAGCTCTCTCTCGAGCTTTCAGATTCTTAGAGAGAGAAAGAGGACACCGCCTTACCAAATAAAAAATATAAATAAAATCAAAATCAAAATTGTAATTAGCGAATAGAGACAGAGAAAGTATATTTTATGATTTTCACTAAATCAGGTTGATTTCTGGGTAAATAAGATATCTCTCCGATGGAGTAGTAATTATTCGTTAGCAGTGTAGTACTATTTATAACTTAGGTTTAAAAAAAATAAAAATAAAAAAAATGTATACTATTTAACTTAGGTTTAAATAACAATAATTTTTTTTTTAATAAAAAATATTTGTTATGATATTTAGGCCTACTATTTTATCCTATTTATTAAAGTAAATTAATTAAATCCTTCCGTAATTAAAGATATAAAAATAATAATAATATAAAAGAAAAACTCATAATATTCAGGTAGACATAACAATAGTGAGTTTTGCATAAAATCGTGTAACATTATTCTTTATAAAATATATTATATTATGGTTGATTGGACTTTAAAAAATAAAACTATATTTCTCATTGACGCAATCAATTTTTTCTTCTCAATTTTCATTCGAGTTTGAACAGTAGGACAAGTCGAAGCCAAATTTTACATGCACTTTAGTTTGACTGTTTATAGTCATATGCAAGTTCAATTAAATTCAATGATGATGAATGGAGTAACAAAGAGATATCATTATAATAGCCTTTTATGTTAAGAAATTTAGTATTTTTCTATGGCATTAAGAAATTTAGTCTTTTATATTAAGAAATTTGGCGTGATTTAGTAACATTTATGTGTTCTTTATTTTTTAACTTTTTTTTTTTTAGACATTTTTATTTATATATACAGTGTTTGGTAAGGATTATTTGTTTCTTAAATTTTGTAAACAATAAATCAGATTTGGTAATGAATATTTATCTCATAAAATAATCAAAAAGAATTTTAAGCTTTTAACACACACACACACTCTCTCTCTCTCTCTCTCTCTATAGCACACTGGTATAAAATCATGTACATAAAAAACAAGGAAAATGATATTTATGTAGATGGATTTATCTGATTTCCTAGGCAGAATCCTAGGTGGCGTCTAACTGGCAAAAAAAAATGCACGTGCGTGCGTGTGTGCAATCCATTCATCTTCCCCGTCTCTCCTCTCTCTCTCTCTCTAACGGTTCCACCACCATCTTTTGGGTCTTTTTTCCCCTACTCCTCTCTTTCTCTCTCTCCAACTTCATCACCCTATTAAGACGAGTAATGTTGGTGGGCCAGAATGCCAAATTTGAGCGCAGGGGTGTCAAAGATCAATTAATGGTGATGTCGGCAACAGAACTCCGATCGATTGATGGTGGTGTCGATGCAGGAGGCTTGTTCAGTGACGGAATCCAATCTTCTTCTTTTTGGGATTCTTATTTGGTGAAGAAGACAATGGAAAGAACTTATGTATAGCCCTTTCCCTACCATCTCTCTCACTAGTTTGTTGGGTGAACAGATCTCTCTTCCAAAGCTATAACTCTTGGATGATCTATTAATTTCACGGTGGTCGAAGCTCGCAAGATTAACGCCAATGAGAAGCAAGGACAAAAATTTTAGATTTTCATCGTTGTGCATTGTTGGGTCACTGGTGCCTGTCGCGAGTTGTGTCGTCACCGTAAGAAACTGATTTTGATTTTGCGGTCGTTGTTTATAGAGGTAAGGCTTAATCGGTTCTTTGTCCTTTTGGCTGGAAGTTGCAGAAGTGGTGAACGATCCAACTAGTTTGTCGACACCAATGAGTATAGGTTGTGTGAGATCGTGTGAATGAAGATGGATAGCTTCGGAACTGAGAAGATTGGATGTCGCTGTCCTGTAAAAGCTTGTTGGATTCTGCAGCTCAACCTTCACCATGGAAATTGACGATGAAGACCCATTCTGGCGAAGAATGAAGACGGTCCAAAGACCCGTTGTTTCGAGCTCGAGCATATGCCTCCATAACGCCGAGGACGGAAGCTACATCGTCTGCGCACGTCATTTGAGCATTGCTGGTTGAGTTTTTGCCGTTCACTATGGTCATTGGCCTCTGTAAGAACAAAACCCATTCTCACCTATAAAGTACTCCTTGCTCGCCAGACATAACAGCTGGGTAGATTTTTTGAATAAAACATAAAAGTTTTTTAAAAATTCTTATTTTTGACCCCTTATGACTAGTTATGTTTGTTAGCTAAGGGTGTGAAAATAGCCTATAAATATATGGTTATTATAATAGATTAAATACGCTTTTTACTTCTCTCCTTCCGATTTCTTTCTGTTTTAAAACCTCTATTCATTCAACCAAAATATTGTATGTATATATATATATCCAAGTTTATAGGCAACATGACACAAAAACTTGGTGATTCGTTTCTCTGTGAACGTGCTTATGGAGGACATTGTAGTTGTATCTTGGAACCTTTCATATTTGTCATAACCTGCACGTATGGAGGCTGTAAAGGCTTTAGGACAGCGCATAATGCATGCCTCTCCATTACACACGTCAAACGTTTCTTTACTCTTCTCTTATTAATTTTATACATTTTACTCGCCTATTACTTTAATATATTGCGGTATGGTTACACTGTGATATGAATATGGAAGCTCTGATGGCCCTGGATTTTTACAAACCCAGTGCGTCCTGTGATGACCCGAAACGGATCCAAAAGTGCAGAAGCTAAACATAAACAAGTCTCTAGGGATGTACATCATCCCTAAGACACCTAAGTGACCCTCCATGAGGCCACAGAACTCAACGAAAACGAACTCGGAAGGAAAAAAAAAAAAGGTAAGGATATACTAAGAATGGTCCAAGGGTAAAATAGTCTTTTCACACATAAAACGAAGTCTCTAAGGATGCATGTCATCCCTAAGACACGATTGTGACTTTCCATGAAACCACGGCACATAAAGGGACAACATACGGAAACAACGTTTTAAAAACAAATAAGTTTAGCCTTAGGGGCAAACTAGTAATTTTATAAAAAGTTTCGGGTGCTACCAAACACGCCATTGGATAGACAATGAAAAATTAATGAAGTTAAACTCAAGAATCGCCTAATTCGGAGTCTGGAATAAGAAGTTACGGCCATTTGAAAACGAGGCACCAAGGTTGTCAGGACATGGCACCATGGGCGCCCATGACACACATCACGCGCGCGCGCTAGCGCACGCCCTTGACAAGCTACTACCGGTAGTAGAAGCTACTACCGGTAGTAGGACAATTGAAGCTACTGCCCAAGCTTCGGAAATGCATGTTCGGGTTGTAATGACCCGGTCATTTTCCTTCCTTTCCTTTTTCTGAAATTTTACGGATAAATTTTTCCGTTGAATTTTCTTTTCTGAATTCGGCTACTCATCACTTAGTGTGGTCTTGAGTACTCGGAAATAGTTTTTGAGACTCTTTCATTTGGATTAACAACTTCTTTTAAGGACCGAGTCAATTCCACATTTTTATTTTTTTGACACTATTCACTTTTCGTCTTTTTCCCGAGAATGATTTTCTTCGCGTAACCTCACTTTTTGTGCTTGGATTTGGTTCCGATTGATGAGCGCTGAAAAGTGCGCATTTAAAACCCTTAAGCTTAGGTATTCTAGAACCTTTATCTATTTTATTTTCCCACTTTAGATTGATTTTGTATTATTTCCATTTTCAGGTACTTATCCCCAAAATAAGCTAACTCAGCTAAATAAGAGCATAATTGAACCAATCTTGAGATGAATCAAAGAAAGAAGCAAAGTGGGAGCAAAAGGAAGCAAGTGGTGGAAATTCAGCAAGTTCGATCGATCTCAGAATATATTCGATCGATCGAAAGTTCATCGATCTTAGCTTTCCAAGATGGATCCAAGCTCTTTTGTCCTTATCCAAAGATCCCACAAAGTTCGATCGATCCAACTTTTTTCTAATTGATCGAAAAGATTCCATCTTATCCACTTGTACCACCCTACCTACCACATTTGTCTCTTTCCCAAAAATATCTTCAAAATATCTCAGATTTGTTTTTATCCAAAAAGGCACCGTCATAGAGGATCGATCCAGCTTCAATTCGATAGATCTCAGCCATGTTCGATCGATCTCAACACAAGTTCGATCAATCAAACTCCCCAAAATCCCGAGAAATTCCAAATTCTAGCTCATTAAAAGTTGTCTCATATCCAATCATTGGGAGGAATATTGGTGTACGAGCCCAGCTCATTTGGGGTGATATTTGACCTACCTATATAAGGAATATGAGCCACTTTTTGAGAATGATACTTGATATACTTTAGAATAGAGAGGAGGCACAATTTTGATATTCTTAGGAAGGAAGAAAAGAAAGGAGGAGGCTAGAGACACAAGCTTGGAGTTCTTCCATTAACCAAGAAAAGGGGCAATCTCTATCATGGAGTTAGCCCTTGAGGGTTGGAGGACACCATCCATGAGTGGCTAGACATCCTCTTGGGGCTAGAGTTAGCCCTAAGCATGCTTTCTACATCTTGATTTATGTATTTTTGAGGGGATTTGTATTGTGATATATGTTTTGACACTTTTATATAAATAGATCTTGTTTATTCAATGATTTATGTGGTTTAATGCTTTCAATTGATCATTTCATTCTATCCATATGTCTATGTATGCTAGAATAGATGTTCATGTGTTTGTCTCTATTTCTTGTGTTATTGATGCATGTCTATGTGTATTAATGCTATAGATCTAGAGATTGTCAAGACATAGTACTTAATGGAATGTTCTTGTGATTTATTTGACGGTTCATACTCATTTCTTGATGGATTGTGCCTCTCCCTTACTTTAATTAGTTTAATTTCATATCATTAGCTTAATTGTAGTGTAGTTATAGTTTAGGTGTTAAATGGGAGGACAATCCATACTTGTTGTTTGATGTTCCATACTTATGAAAGTAAGTAACATATATCTCTAACCTTGTGATGTGTTTGGATTGTGAGCTTAAAGAAAGGATTAATGGCTTAGTTTGATATATTGTGCTATCCACCATGTTGCTTAGATAATATATGCTTAATTTGTCATCCATGCTTGTTGAAACAACCACACACACA